TGCGGGCAGCCCCAGATGCACCCGGCAAATGTGGCGCGAATGCCTGCGCGGCCCCATGAGGTTGGTTACGGGAAAAGTAAAGTGTCCATGCGCCGCACCGTTGTGTTGACTACCTTCGAATCCCGCGCTCCTACACGGCGCGGTGAGCAGCTCTGAAGGCAGAACAACTCTGCTCCGCACCAGTGCCGCGCCTGGGGCGAAGACCACCGACGTCTCGGGAAACGCCACAACGGCACGGTGCACGCACGTCGTCCGCGGAGTGATCCCGTGGGCGCACGTGGGCCCGCACCCGCGCGCGCGCACGTGCGACCCCCCCAGCACCGACTCGCGCGAACTTCACGCACAACTGGCTGAGGCTAATCCGCCACCGTGTTGCCTGGCACATTGGAGCGCGGTAGAGTGCCAAGTGCTGCCTGGCAGGGCTTCTGCAATCTTCTGAGGGCCCTCCTAGCATTTGGTCGGGCGTGTCTTTAGAGGAATCAGAAAATACACCTAAAATACCTAACACACTAATCGAAACGTCGTTCCCAGACAATGTCTAAACTATTTTTGATTACTCCTCCTGTCGAGGGACGTGCCGGACTGAACCCTAGCGGACTGTAGCACGCACCAGCGCCCCTCCCAAGGGCTTCTTGAGCGTCTCCGCGCTCCCCTGGCGCTCTTCAGGCTCTCTGGAGCCCCCGACGCGGCCCGGGCAGGCCATCGCTGCCGCCAAAAAGGCCCAAGATGCCTCCAATGAGGGAACGAACAATAACATAAACATAACAACTCGCAGCTCCGCGGATTTCTCGGATCAGCGCTGGACCCCCCTCCCTAGCGCGGGGGGCGCGCCAGGGGCGGCTCCGGAGGCGCCGCCGGGGGGGTCCAGCGCGGGTCCGAGAAATCCGCGCGGACCTCTGAATTTGCATGTTTATGTCATTGTTCGTTCTCCTATCCAAGACGGCCGAGGATGGCCCCCAAGACGGCCAGGCATGGACCCATGGCGCCCCTGCGGAGCCAACGGTCGACGCGGCCGAAGGAGGCCCCCGCGAGGACCCTCAGGAGGACTTGAGGAGGACCAAATCAATTATGAGCATTGTCATTGTTTGTTTATTTTAACTACTCTTCTTCGAATGGCTTTCGCATCCTAATTCCTAGCCTTGTTTGTCCGAGCTTCCGTCAAGCCAGCGCGGCCCATGAGGGCCCCGCGACAGCCCAAGGCAAGCGGGCCCCAAGAGGGCCCCAAGAGGGCCCAATGAAGAAGGCCTCAAGATGGCCCCGGAGGACTCCAAGGCGGCCCCAGGACCCGGGGCGGCCCGAGATACCGCCAAGACAGCCCTTCCGAGTCCCCAACGGCCCACGCACGTCCCAGAGAGACCCCCTGGGACGGACCCGAAGGCGCCAGACTGCCAAAGAGCAAACTAAAACGACCCAAGGAGCCCCCGAAAGGTCCCAGGAGGCAAAGGAGACGCCCCCAAGAGGCCCCCGAGATAGGGAAAAAGTGAAGGGATGAAGACGAACACGAACATGAGCAGAGACACGCCGACACGACCAGGAAGACGGCGTCACACATGACGGCCTCCTGGCGCTTGTTGGGCAGCCACCACCCAGAGTACGGACAGTCAGGGCAAGCTGGTGAGATTTGAGAGTTCGGCCTGAAATCTCACATCGCACGACGGTGCCAGACTGTCGGTCCAGCCAGGCCATGGGCCGTCGGCTCCAGCCCGGGGAAAAAAAGGTCCGGCGGCTGATCGCGGGCGATGGGCGCGCAGCGTCGGGCACCCGTCAACGGATGCAAGGACCCCCACAAACGTTGACGAGGGCTCCCGTTTGGGAGTGTCGACCTCGCCGCGGGCGTCGGATCCGGGCGCGGATCCGCTACGGATCACATGCGGATCCGAGGCTTGTTCGACAGATCATATGCGAATTCGATGGGCTCTGGGCGGATCCGAACGGTGCGCAAATAGCGTGTTTGGCACGGATCCTGTCGAAAGAGAAGGGCAGTGGGGGACTCCGAAGACGACTTGCGCCGAGGCACGGGGCTGGCTCGACATATGTTTCGTCATGCGGCCCCTCCACCAGCTCGCCCGTGGGGGCCCCTGGCCGCGCCTGGGCGCGCTCGCGCCCGTGCACCTTCTGGAGGGTCAGACCCCGGTGATGCGCTGATCCAATCGCTTTCCAGCCCAGGCAGATCGCACCAACTTGACCTGTCCGCTCGGTAGGTTCGCGCGGAGACGGGGCGCGCCAAGGTTTTTGACACCGCGTCGATCGTTAAACCTTGAATCGATCGCGGCCGCGACCGTTCAATGTTGAATTCACTTGGGTCCAATTGCGTTACCGTGCTTATCGGTGCTTCCGCGTCGCAGAATTCTACCTTGAACGCCTTTGCCGGCGTCACCGGCGCGCCAGCGCCGCGCGAACCTACGGTGCTGAGTGCGCACGGCGGCGGGATTCGGCGGGCGCCCTCGCAAAGTGATGTGTTTCGAACGGACCATTGGCCAGCGCCGTGAAGTTGAGCCAAGCCAAATAAAAATCCAATGCATGATCAATTTGGGAGGGCCGGGCATCCTGGAGCAGCCCGGGCACGCGAGACGTCGATCGCTGAGCCAGCTTCCTAAGCCGTGGGAGACCAGGGCCATCCAAAGCGCGCCGAGACGACCGGGAGGAGCGGGGCTGCGGAGAGGGCGCAGCCCATCATATTAAGGCATAGCCGATATTTCTCGACGCTACGTGTGGACGGGAGCCAGGCAAAGGTAAACGGCCAAAGGGCGCCGCGGCGACAGGTGCAGAACGCGCTAAGATCTCCCCGAACATCAGAAAGGTTCAAAGGGCAAGTTCAATCATTAACAGAGCATCACGGAACACAGGGCGGCCAACGGGTGGGAGCACATTGAGCCCCGATGGCGATGAAGACATCTCCATTGCGGCCCCCTCACGTTACACCAACGCAGAATGTTGTGAAAACGCACAGCCCGTCTCCACTTCCGAGGGCCATCCAAAGCGCGCCGAGACGACCGGAAGGAGCGGGGCTGCAGAGAGGGCGCAGCCCATCATATTAAGGCACCACCGATCTTTCTCGACGCCATGCGTGGACGGAAGCCAGGCAAAGGTAACGGCCAGAGGGCGCCGCGGCGACGGGCGCAGAACGCGCCGAGATCCCCGAAAACCCCAAACAGGGACGGGGCTGGCCGAGAGGCCGCTGACAACATAAAACGCTGAACAGACTCCCTTACATCACCGAGAACAAAGAAAACCCTGAGCACAGGCTAGCGCGATAGAACAATGCCATGCCGATACTGGACCAAGCATTGAGGGTTCGATAACTTTTGACATGCGGGCGCAGAACTTGGATGGATAGGCGGCAGCCAGAGAGGTGCGATGGGCCCCGCCCTCGTGGCCGCTGAGAATGATGTGAGGGCGCTGGCTCTGCGAGCACATCCCCCGACGGCCAGTGCCAATCCTGCAGATACTAGCATGATTCACATATCTACAACTGGCTACACTAGTACGTTTGCGCCACGGAGCACCGCGCTGACAACTATCGCACACGCTGAAAGACGCGAAGCATGCTGGAGCAGAGACCGCATGCGACGAGCGTGCCACAACAAAGACACCGACGGGTTCTGAAGATAAGCTGGAATGTGTAATGGTATACAAAGCTCAATGATGTCACAGCTGAAATGGAAAGAACGACTGCCGATCCTGAGCTTGGCGCGCTCATGCGGCAGCAGATCGCTCTTGCACATCGGCCGAGCTCTCGACCTCAGTGGGCCTCGCAGCTCCTGCCCCCACGACGCGCGCGGTGTTCCGAGCCGCGCCGCGCCCGCCGCGCGAGCGGCCAACCAGCCCCCGAACGTCAAGCCGAACGCGCTCGAGAGGCGGTCCTCGGCCGCTCCGCGGCGAAGGTCGAGCGCCAGCCCAGGGGGGCCGCCCCGCTTGGCCGTCTCGGTCAGCCGTGCCGAGCCGGCGAACAGCTCGAGCACCGCGCGCCGCACGCGCTGCCCGGCGAGCGCAGCCTTCAGCCGCCGCCGCAGGTGCCGTCCGCACAGTTGCCCCTCGAGCGCCCGAGCTGCACCAGCGAGCGGAGAAGCGGCTGCCGCCGCGCTGCTGGCCGGCGGCGAACGCGCGCCCCCTTGGCCAGCGTTGGCCCCAGCACGCGCATCACCGCCGCGGGCGCCAGGTGCAAGACTGCCGCTCGCTCGAGACGCCCGCGAGCCGCGCGCTGCGTCGGCGCCCCGGCAGCCCAGCACGTCTGCCACGCAAACGGCCAGCAGCGCGTCTCGGGCGGGGGGGGGCCCAGCTCGGGTGCGCCGCTGAACCAGCCACGACGCCCACGGCTCACGGCGTCGGACGGGTTCCGCTCCGAGGCGACCCGCCGCACGTGGAGCTTAGGGCCCGATGCGATCGATAGTGCGCATGCACGCCCAAGAAAACGACGAAAATTAATACTCTTAGCTCTTCCCTTAGCCACTCCAAGAGCCACGGGCAAGATGTCTATCAGGATAAGGACACGACGACCAGCACAACTTGAATCGCGCAACAGATGACGGCTGGCCAAGCATAGGGCCTCTCCCTCCAAGTACAGGATGTTAGCGCGACCCGAGACCTTAACGGCCGCTGTGGGCCTCCACCCTCTGCTGCAAGTGATAGTAGCTCGGACCTCGTTGAACCTCGCCCTGCAGTCGCCCAAGACGCCCTCTGACCCCAAGACATCCGCGGGGGGGTGCCCGTCGACACTGGGGCCCCGGAGCCCTTGCAGGGGTCCACGCACGGGAGCGCGCAGTCGCCCAGGACGCCGTCTGAGACACCTCCAGCGGGGCCCAAGGGGACCTCAGGAGCTTCAAGGACCTGACTGGCTGAACCGACTGGCTGCAAACCGCCGCCGCCGCCCGCAGCGCGACTGAGCGAGCGAGCGCGAGCATGGGGGCGACAACTGTAAGCTGACACCACCTTGTTTTATACATTGCCCCTCTTGATCACCGATCCCGCCGCAAGCGACCTCTCGCGAGCGGAGGCGGCACCTGCCACCCTGAAACGCCAGCGCTCGGAGAAGCGGCCGCGCTCTGCAACGCCGCCCGGTGCCATCCGCCGCCGCGCGACGCCGAGCCCGCAGGGCGCTGCATCGCTGCGCGCGGCAGTGCCGCGCCATCCAGCGGTGATGTCCGCCTGGGGCACAGGTAGCAGGCTGCGGACCAGCTCGGGCTCGCGCATCGCCGAAGCCCAGGGCCGCACCAGGCGGCCGCCGAAGGTCTCCACGACAGCGCAGCGCGCATGCAGGGTGGCGAGCGCCCCCCTGCGGATCATGGTGGCCCACGCGATGCGACCCAACACGGCCCGCAGAGCATGCCCTGTCGCCCGGGGGTTCCGCAGCGGGCTGCTGGTCGCCGCCCTCAGCCTCCAGGCGTTTCGGGCCTCGATGGTCAGCGACGCCCCTCGTGCAGCGGCAGCCCGAGAAACTCGACGCTGGCCGACGCCTCGCAGATCTCGAGAACTACCAGCCCCGCGAGCCTGAGATGACTGACCAGCTTGTAGAGCAGGCGGCTGGCCGCCTCGGGCGCGGCGCCGACGGTGATCACGTTGTCGACGTAGGCCCCGGCGGCAACGGGTCAGTCGCGGCCCAGCCGGGCGCCGACCCGGCCGTCCACGATGACGCTGGATGGGCCCACCCCGCTGCGCAACAAGCAGGTGGCCGACGCCCCCTGGCACAGGCGCAGGGCCCACGGGAAGCCCATCGGCAACATCACCACCTTGGCAGCGACCAGCTGGCGAGGTGCAAACGGCAGCTCCACGAGGCCTGCCTGCATCAAGAAGGTCGCATCGACGGCGGGCAGCGCGAAGTTGCCACCAGTGCCGGCCGGGGGCCGCACGTGGTAGAACGCGCACTCCAGGTCGGCGGTGGCGATGTAGGCGCCTGAAGGAGGCACCTCCAGCGAGCCCCAAGCAGAGGCTATGGGTTGCCTGGTCTTTGGAGGCGGCTGAAGGAAATAATTTGCGATGCGCGCATAAAATATGATGCGCTGACTCCCATTCTTCCTGGGGGCGAAAAAAAGGCCCGCAGAACCCTTGGCGCCCACCGCCTCCGAGACGCGAGCGCGGAGCTCACCCTGGAACTCAGCGTAAACGCGCGGGGCGCCAAAGAGCTTCCGATCGCAGTGGGCACCGCGGGGGCAAGCGGTCGACATCAGCTCAGCGGCTTCCTCTTGAGGACAAAGCATATGACTCCGCCAGTGCCATGAGCGCTCCCCCTCCAAGCAGCCCGCGATGGATGCGACGTCCACCTAGCGCCCAGCTAGAGCAGGCCACAAGATCTGCTCTCGGTCGGAGGGCACTGACGGGATGGGCGCGTGGTCGCCGTGGACCGACGCGCCGTGAAGGAGCTCCTCGAGGGCCCCGTCCTGGCAAGCACGCGTCTCTCCATGCTTCTCTGGAAGAGGTCCCAGCCGATGAAGAACGGTGTTCCTGTGATCAATGGCAGCGCGCTGGCACTCGTTGACGGGGAGGCCAACCTCGCTGCGACAACCGCATGGTGAATTCAGGGATTCAGTGGCCTCGTTTAGCCGAGCCCGATGATGAGCATGAATAGCCCGACGTCTCTGCGAGCGGCGCCCGCCAGCATCAGATCGAGACGGTGCTGACCCCTCCAGCGGCAACGGGGAGATGTCGCGCTGCCGGTCGCCTCCACGGCGGCGCGAGTCCGCCGAACCGGTGTGATCATCTGGGTGAACGGCCCGCCGGTCTCCCAGGCCGCTCCAAAACGATGGCGCCATGACTCCGCGTCGGCCGCGCCGCGCCCGCCGCCCTTCTCCTCGGCGTTCGGCTTCCGAGGCCTCTCGGGTCCAGCATCGGCACCACCAGCTGCGAGAGCGCGTTCCTCCCGAGCTTTGCGCCGCTTCTTCGCTATGGCCGCGTCCATCTGCAGCTGCTGCGATACGAAGTCCCGAAGGGGCGGCTCTACGCACGCGTGGCCACGACCGCGCGCGAGGCCCATCATCAGATTCTCGCTCACGCCGAACTCCGTCTCGCACTCGAAACGGTGCCGGTACCTCTCGTTCTCCGTCTGGATGGCCCACGCAACGAGCTCCATCGACGCCAGATTGGAGCTGCGCAGCTGGTCGTAGTAGCACACGCCGACCTCCAGCAACCTGCACATTAACTCGTGGTTCGCGACCCCTGGTTCGTCATCCCGAAGCTGGCCGCCGGTGCGCCACTTCAAGCCATCGGAGACCCGGCAACGCGATGGATGAAGAGCACCACCCACAACAGCGCCCTCGGGCCGCCGATCAGCCAGTCGCTGAACGGGGCCTTCACGAGCAACCGCACTGCGTCGCCGAAGTCGCGATGCCGCTCCCCGCGGATGTTGCGGGTCACCGCCATGATCCGCAGGTCGCCTCCAGGAGCAGCCGCTGCCGCGCCCACCGCGGCCGCGCCTGGCGCTGGCCCAGCAGCCGCTGCAGGCTCCAAGGGGGCCGCAGCCGCGGCGGCGCGGCGGCCCCTGGTGCCATTGGCGGGGCGCGCTGGCGGCGGCGCGCTCCTGGCCGCATCCGCAGCGGCAGCCGTTCCTGGTGCTGCGCCTCCTCTCGGCGGTGGAGCGCGGGGCGCGCCTTGGGCTTTGGCGGCGGCGCCCACCGGCTGCTGGCGCCAGCAGCGCGCCTCCGCCAGCTCCATGACCGTCGAGAGCCGCCGCCAGGCCGCCAACCCCAGCCGCAGCGCCGCCGCCTGCCGCCGGGGCGGCCCCCACAGCAACCGCGGCCACGCCCGGCGGGATCACGCGCCCACCGACGTTTGGCACCGCCGCCGCGCCAGCTGGCAGCCCGAGCTCCGCCTCCACCGCCTGCTGGGCCGCGGCGATGGCCGCCGCGAGAGGCACCGCGCGGAAGCGATACTCCCCGTCACCTCCGATGCCTGCTGCAGCGCCTCCAGCCGCCCCGCCGGCGCACACCACGACCGCCGCGACGTCAGCGCCGCCGATTAGCACCTCCGAGTAGGCGTCGCCATCGGGAGTGAGGATCCCGACACCCCATGGCGCCGGGAAGGCCAGCGCCAGCACGAGCCTCTCGTGCCACACGCGCCTGCCGCCGACCGCGTACTGGATCATGACGAAGTCGCCCGGCACGACGCCGAGCGCGCTCAGAGGATGAACCATCCTCAATGGTGGGAGGCGCTGCTCCAGGCTCAGAGGCTCCCTCCCCGCCGGCGGCCCCTCCGCCTCTCCGCGACGCGCGCAGCCTCGGCAACTAATCAAGCAACGCCTACCGCGCCGCAGGCCGCTCCCGCCAAGAAGACCAGCACCCGGGCGGCGTGGCTCAGCACGGTCTTCAGCCAAGTCGGAGGCTCGGCCGCTGCGATCAGCGCGCCGGCGCCGCAGCTCAGCGCAGGCGTGCACACGCAGGCGGGGTACTCGGTCCGAGCCGCCCACACAATCGCCGCGGTGCCCGCTGATCGCATCGACTCTCCGTAGAAGTAATGGACGAGAGTCTGCGTCCGTCAGCACTTTGAGCCCCGATGGCGATGGAGACATCTCCATTGCGGCCCCCTCACGTTACACCTGCGTAAAATCTTGTGAAAACGCACATAGATTGGGTTCTCACCAACTCCACGAACAAGACGAATACGGGAAAACCGCTACGCCTTTGAAATAGGAAGGCGCCTGAAGTATGTTATTACAATGTGGGGTTAGAAGCAACGATATACCTTCGACGAGCTATGTGCACCTGACTTCCACGAACGATCTGCTGTGGCCTGCGGTGACTTCCTGGGGGGGCCGCCCACCTGCCCGCGGCGGGGGGGGCGGGTCCTGGGCCGTGAAGGGTGCTGCGGCGCCTCGTGGCCAAGGTCACAAGTGCCCAAGTGCCGCCCGCCCACACGGGAAGGGCGGGAGGATCGAGGAGGCAAGAGCGAGGGAGGCAAGAGCGAGGGAGGCGAGCGAGGGGCCGCCCGCCGGCCGCCGCCCAGGGAGGCGAATTCGGCACCGAGGCAGATGGTGAACATTCGGTGGTTCACAGATGGTCGGTACGTCGGGCATGTCCCCCTACAGGCGGATTTGGACGAAAAGTGAAAATGAACCCAAACATGCTCAAAAAGAATAAGAAATAGCCAGAAAGTCGTCCCAAAACTGTGTTTGACTATTTTTGAAGACTCCTCCTGTAGAGGGACGTGCCCGACTTAAGATGAGCGGCGGAAAGAAACGGGACTTACGCGATATGACGTAGCGACCTTACGCCGCGTCTTACGCGGTCCGCCAGCGCGGCATGCTGCACTGGAGGCGAGGGCGCCGACGTGCGAGCGCACGCGGGAAGCCTACGCGCCCATGTCGGCGCAGACGACCCCGTTGGTTTGCGTCGCTCCGATGGGGTCCTGAGCGATGGGGGCCCCAGGACAGGAAGGGATTACAAGCAAGGGCTCCCAGCTTCACGCTTCGCGCTGCGCGAAGCGCGAAGTGCGCATAACTTCGCGCTCTCGCGCCGCCTCCCAGGGGAGAGGAGGAGGATGGGGAGGAATCGGAGCCGAACCGCGAAGCGCGAATAACTTCGCGCCCTCGAGGGCGCCCTTGATAAGGGTCGAGCTACGTTGCTTGAGACACCTCGTCCTCGGGACCCCGTCCCTCAGGACCCCATCTTCGACCCGCCGAGACATGTGGCCAGACGCTGCCTGCCCACCGGGCAGGGAGGCCGAGCCACGAGAGCAGTGCAGCGCGGGACGGCGGGAAGGCACGCGTGCCCCTGCCCAGTCGACCTGCTCCGTGTGGCGCTCGAACTGCCCGAGTCTTGGCGCTCAGAGTTCGGCGCTCGTTCCACAATTCCCTCCCTTCCTCCCGTTCTCGTGCTCCTCATCATCCCCCTCCCGCTACTCCTCGCTTCCACGCGCATCTGGGCTCCGCTGTGCCCGCGAGCAGTCAGCCGCTGCTGCGCAGGACGAGTAAGCAAGCCACTCCTCGACCTGCTCCTCCTCCCACTGCGAGGCGGTGATATATCCATATCAGATTATTGTGGAACCGACGTCCGGGGACCCCAGCGGGCAGTGGATACGGATATGTTTGGGCCTCAGGGGGCCCGACTCTATCCACATCCACCGCCTGCCGAGGTCTCCGAAAACCCATCCTCCAGGAAGCGGTTATGTGCAAAACCCCGCCACCGACCCTCTCTTCCTCCCCTTGAACACTGTGCCCCCGGTCACGCTGTCCAAGACAAGCGCTCGGATAAAGGGTGGCGAACCCCTCCTCCATCGTCCCGCCCGGAATTGTCAATCCCCCGGCCTCCCCT